TCTCTTTTTGAACAATTCAAAGAAATACAAAATTTGTTTTTTTGGTGTGTATTTTTAGATGGCAAAAAAATACAGTGTTGAAGATGCTCTGAAGATGATTATGGATGGGAATTCAAGTGACATGGAGCAGTTAGAGGAAAGTGATGAGGAGGAGGATGCAGAATGGACTCCTATGTGTACTGAGGAAAACTCAGATAGTAGTGATGAGGAGGACTTAGATGAAAGCGTGGACCACACAAGTGCAGAAGTCGAGGACACAACAAAGCAGTCGGCAAGAGGCAGAGTAAAAAGAAAAAAGTATCAGTGGAAGAAGAAAAAGTTTGAACCACCGGATGTTAAATTTGATGAATGTGTTGAGGAAGAGTTAGAAGTCAGGCATGACTGGACACCTTACATGTATTTCAAAGATTTTGTGACTGAGGAAATGCTACAGGAAATTGCAGAAGAAACAAACTTGTACAGTGTGCAGAAAAATGGGAAGTCAGTGAACACAAATGCTCAAGAAATTGAGCAAATTCTGGGTATGTACATGCACATGGGGTTAGTACAGATGCCCAATGTACGAGCCTATTGGGAGATGGAGACAAAGCACTCTACAGTTTGTGATGTGATGTCTCGAGATCGATTCCTGAAATTGCTGACACTGATTCACTTTCAGGACAACCTCAATGTGTCTGAGGATGCAAAAAAGGATAAAGTGTGGAAACTCAGGCCATGGTTAGAGAAACTACGTCAACGATTTCTTTGCATACCTCCTGAAGAATGTCACGCTGTTGATGAAATCATGGTGCCTTTCAAAGGAAAATCACATCTACGCGTCTACATGCCAGGAAAACCTCACAAGTGGGGGTTCAAGATGTGGGGACGTGCCGGCCAAAGTGGCTATCTCTATGACTTTGACATTTGCCAAGGGGCAGAAAATCCAGACCAAGTGAAATCTGATGTTGGTGCTACTGGAGATATTGTCCTGAAAATGACCTCAACCCTTCCAGCGGGAAAAAATCACAAGGTTTTTGCAGACAACTACTTTACATCAGTTCCATTGGTGGAGCAATTGAAAGAAAGAGGAATCTACTACATAGGCACAGTCCGAATGAACAGGGTAAAAGACTGCGACATGATGGATGAGAAAGAAATGAAGAAAAAGGGAAGAGGGTCTCTGGATTTCAGAGTAAACCAGGACAACGCCATCATTGTGAGATGGTATGACAACAAAGCTGTGAACCTGCTTTCTTCTTTTGTCGGCATCGAACCACTGGGCAATGTGAAGCGTTGGGATCGAAAATCCAAAACCCACATGATGGTTCCAAGACCAGCCATCATTGAAACGTATAACAAGTTCATGGGAGGAGTTGAACTTCTTGATATGCTATCTGCACTTTACAAGTTCAGCTTCAGATCCCGAAGGTGGTATATGTACATTTGGTGGCACACTGTCACAGTGGCAGTAATCAATGCATGGAACCTCTACAGAAGAGACCATAAGAAATTGAAGCCCAGGCAGAAACCCATGCCGCTGCGAAGGTTTCAAGCAGCTGTTGCCACCTCTCTCACAAGCGCAGGAAAGGGCAAAATCAAGTATGGCAGACCACAATCCTCCTCTCCAGAAGCAGCACCTCCCCCCCGCAAAAGGCCAACCTTTAGTGTGCCCCCTGATGTGAGAAAGGATGGCATTGATCATTTTCCAACATGGGAAACCCGACAAAGATGCAAGCACTGCACAGGCACTCACTTCACCCATGTCTATTGTGGGAAATGTAAGGTCCATCTTTGCCTGAACAAGGACAGAAACTGTTTTCAGGCCTACCACAACACAAAATAAAAAGGTTGTGAACCAAAAGAATTTACCAAATTAAGTGAAAGGTTCCTCTTCCACCATGCTGGTTCCACTGGTGGGTTTGTCATTGCTGCGTGAAAGCTTAATTTCAGCAGATGTATGATGTTGTGTTATATGGAAAATTTTATTTTGTATGTTTGAGAAAAATTTTAAAGGAAACTCAAAGT